AAATGGGAGAGGGAGGGGGGAGAATGAGAGAAGAAGAGGCAGCTGTGCAGCAAAGACACAGAATAACTCCAGCTTTGTGTGTTTTTCATGCTAGCGGAAGTACGGGGCAAACTGTGTTCCTTATCACCTCAATACGAAACGAAAACATTACGAAACGCTCTCTGAATACAGAACAATTCGGGATGGTTGGCAACTCTAATAATTAACCTTATGAACAAAATAAAGTTTAACATCAATAACATCATAGCACCCACCCAGCTGTATAGAAACTCCGTCATGCTAGCTAGTACGCAGCTTAATGTAACTGACTGTAAAAAGTCAGCACAACGAAAATAAACTCCACCTAAACTTGGTTTATATCTGACCCAGATAGACTGCAGGTCATAACTTCTTACCTGAAGTTCAGTTCACCTGACACTAGGACAAGCGGCCGCCTCGGGTCTCTCCTCCTCCTGCCTCCCCTTTCCCTCATCCACCTGCTGGCCTCCACCACTTGCTAATATTACTGAATCTTTGGAAGCTCCGCGATAGCCTCCACACGAAGTAACGAATAACGAGCCTATCTAAATCCCAGTAACGTGTTCCTGATTTTGGCACAATAACTAGTTACCATGCTCGTTACCACAATAATAACGTAGTTACTGTAATGCATTACTTAATAACGCGTTAGTCCCAACACTGGTTATTACTGACTTTAAGAAGTGAAATATAATGATGAATGACATAATTCCAGGCAAATAAATGATGCTTTTAAACAACTTATGTGTGGATTTAATTGTAATATTTCTGAAAATTTGAGAATGGTGTACATGGAACAATACTTTGAAGACTGAGGGACCCTTCATCAGTCATCAGTCATTCATCGGGATTGTTGATGTTACTAGTGATTGGATTACTAGTGCACTAAATGGCTGAAATTCTGTTCCTTGTTAGTAAGCAGAATCCCAACAACTAACAAGACAACATTTCTAGTGTTATTTACACTACGTATTTGTTGACTGGCATCTCTCCCAGAGAAATAACTCATATAAAAACTGAACTTATCCACTTGTTTAACAGAACAGCTGACTGAAAGAGCCTTTTTTACTCTCTATACCAACATCTTGTAAGATTATTTCAAAAATAAACCATAAAACCTGGAGTTTTTACCTTTGAAAGGCAAACTTTCGTTTTCAAGAATGTACCAAAGAGGCTGTGGCTACAAGTGGTCGCTGAGTGTTGCTCACTGTTAGGTGCAAACCAGTGTGACAGTAACCTCATCTTTAAACCACGATAATGAGAGTGCCCGCTGTTTTCACTCTGACTCCATCTCTTTGATTATAACTCAGGAGCCAAAAGATGTGTTAAGAATGCAACACTGGCTCTACAGCGCAGTCCTGCCAAGAAGTTTTCAGGTGTGTGAACAAGGAAGAGAATGTCAAACCTTAGAAACTAATCATGACACAAATATCAATATTAATGAGGACATTCAGGCTTGTTGGGACATGTGCTTTTGACAAGTCAAATTATTCAGTTTCTGTTTATCTTGGAAAAAATGTATGGCTTTAACACCTGTGTAATTGGTGTATGACTTAATTTCTTTACTTGTACAGACAAATCTGAATGAACACAGAGCGATGTAGTTTAGTAAGTGAAACTAGTATTTTAGTAATTCCCCTGTAATTAACTGGAATTTCAATGTGATTATATTTACCTACATGTATTTAAAGGTGGATAGACTAGAATAAAGGTTGTAACAAGTCAGTTTTTTTGACAGGAAACAAAGAAACTATACTAGAAATTTAAAAAATGTTTTAAAATAATATTCAAAATTCAACTGGTGTGTAACTAATTTTAAACACAGCATAAGGTTTTCTTTTACATAACCTAAGGACTAATTTTAAGTATTGCATAAATTCAGGTATTTTGCAGGAAAGGAAACAGATGATCAAATGATGCTGTAATTTTAAGCAGTGCATTATTTCATGTTAATTTGGAAGAAAAACAAACTATATTTTCCCATCTTGCAATTTGAGTAAGCTGCACTTTTTGTTGTATCAGGTCCTGCATGTGCAACAAAGTTTTTAACACCCTGACACCAAAGTTTCCGTTGTGGCACTTGGAAGCCTGACGGCAAAAACAGTTAAGGGGCTTTGCAAGCCAAACTTTTCAGCTTTTGCTTCAGTGCCATCATGATCTACTGCATCACATGCATCTTTCTACAAGTCTCCCTCACAGGTAAGATAAGGTCATTTTTGAAAGACAAGTGAATAAAGCATATTCCTTTACTTTATATAATTATAAGGTCATGAGCAAGAAATGGGCATGATTTTGATATAATCAGTATATTGATTCTACATTCTTTTCTTATGTAAGGGGCTGCTGAGAGCAGTATAATTGGTGGCAGAGAAGCAAAGCCCCATTCCAGACCTTACATGGCATCACTCCAGTATCAAGAACACCATTCATGTGGTGGGATGTTAATCCGAGAGGACTTTGTTCATTGCATTCATGGCTTCTCAATCATATGCAAACATTTGAGGTCAGTTTTCCCCCTGTGAAACCAGTCATCTGCATAGAAAGTCTGAAAAAGATCCCCTTAATCTCAACTTAATCTCAACTTAATTCATATATTTAAAAGATACTTCCATTTAGCAAAATAATTATAACACTGTGATACGCGTACATACCAAGAACGAAACAAATGTGTTCTAAGAAGACTAGAAGATACACATTCATTTGAACAGGAAGGGTATTTGGGTTTATGCAGTTCTGGGAAAAAGAGTAGCACTTCAGGCACAAATCAAAGGTGTTTAATCAGGTCTGACAGTTTCATGTATGGAACGCGAAAGTGAAAACAACACAAGGATCCTAACAAATGTGTGCTTTTTACTATGTTTTAGTTTATACTACCACTAGATGTTGCCAAAGTCACCAATTTTTAAACGTATACCAATGGGCCACAAACTGTGGAGTGGCCTCCTCTGGTGGAGCAAAGAGCTACTGCTGGGGTGTTCGTTACCAATACATTCATTGAGTTATATTAGTAAATTAATGAAAAACTGCAGTAAATATATTTTAGAATTGAAAGCATCAATTTGATTAAAGAGCTCCCAAACACTGTGGATTAACCAGTTTATAGAAACATAAACCTTACACTTTGTGGTGGTCTAATGAAAGTAGTAAACTAGTTAAAGAGCATATTTTTAAATCTGCAACATCTGTCTCTCAGTCACTGCATGGTCCAACCACACTCTCTTATGCTGGTTGGTTAGGCCTCTTTTCTGGCCAATGTGGACAAGTACACTGTGTGCTTGGCTGAATACTCTGCTGTCCGCTGTACTATATTGTAGAGGTTTCCTGTGGATATGTTTTGTACTCAGGATCAGATCTGTTTCAGTTTTCAAGAAAACTGAGACACTGTTTAGACAAGTGAGTGTTGCTCACAAATCAACACTTACCTCATCCTTAAACTATGAGGTGAGAGTGCCCACTGGTTTCACTCTAACTCCGCCCTTTTGATTATGAGTCAGAAGATGTGTTAAAAATGCAAACCTGGATCTACAGTCAGTGACATTTACACTTGTAGGACCATGTGCTGTTAAAAAGATAAACAGTTCTGTTTCTGTTTTGTTTGTTTTTTTCGGGAAAACCTTTGTGGCTAACTGGTGCATGGCTTTTTACCCATACAGACAAATCTGTATTTATACATACAGCTATTTAGTTTAAAAAATAAAACTAATGTTTTAAGTAGTGCTCTTCGTTTTCGGTTTATCCAACTTACTCTTTGCAAATATTAGTTTGAATGAAATGTTATCAGTGTCAGCGTTTTCATTGCCTATCATCTTTGTTATTGTGGTGATCACACAGCAACTATAATCACATTTCACTCTGTGGTAGCCTCTGCTTGCTGCGATCATGTGGCTTTTGCTAGGTTGGTTAGCCCATCTGACTGCTTTCTATATATTGGGATCGTGTAAAACCCCTTAACCGCTGTAGTATTATATCCTGTTCTTCAGGAAGCAGCTTGAAAGTGTAAACAAAGTTTCTGTATTTTACAGCATGTGCAGTAAAAAAAACAAGTGTAGATTGAGCCGTGCTAGATTTCCCACTAATTCCCTGATGTTACAACAAGTAATATTTGGCATAATGTCTAATTAAATGTGAGTTATTGGCTTTATTAGATCATTTTGAACTTGTTTATTTAAAATAAAACATAGGTATTTTGTACTAGAGCAAGAGTGTTTTGAAGCTTTTACGAGTTAATGAAATGAGGACGGGCTGCCAGAGGGGATCATCTGCTGTAATTATTAAATTTATGTTTCTGTGAAATTTGTCAGTGACACCCTCAATTATGATGAGAGATTGAACACATCTGAGAGAACATAGAGAGTAAATCAAACATCGAAATTTGTTCAGCTGCACAGATTCAAAGGCAAAATGAGAACGTAAACTTCTAACCTTTTGTTGCGTAAGGCAATGAATGTACTGTTCAACTACGTTTACAGCATTTAGTCAACAAGTTCATGTCCTTATAGAGAATGCTGTAAAGACACCCACCAAACTGGGCTTTAAATAATAAGTTATTATTAAATAATAAGTTCAGAAAAACATGTGCACTGTATGTGCACATGTGATGAAACAAAAGAAAAAGAAAGAAAGAAAAAAGAAGTAATGTGTGTATAGGGTTCATAGTGAGAGGTGTGAATATCTTTGTACATACCGTGGTTACTATGACGATAATACACGCTTTCCATTTCACGATTTACCACCAACCTTCACCATCTTCCTTTAAAATAAATGTGATCGACAGAAAAAAAAGGAACTTTCATCAGAGCAAAAATTGGAATTATCCTCTCATAGAGGTGTGTGATTTTTAGAGAGGACAACCACAAAACGTAGGATTTTGAATTGAATTAATCTGAATTGCATAAAACCACATGAAGGTGCAAACGCACATACAGTATAGAAAAACAATAAATCATTGACAATTTAACAACGTTCGATGCTATCTTGCTTGAGAAGATGGCTACAGACGATCTTTTTTTAATATGTTTTTTCACAGTTGCGTTTCACATGTAAAGCAGTGAGCAGGGTGTGATAGCAACTCCTGCCCGTGCAACAAAGTTTTTGACACCTGCCCACAGCGTTTCCGTTGTGGCAGTTGGAAGGCAGACAGCAAAAAGGGTTAGGGGGGCTTTGAAAGCCAAACTTCTCAGCTTTTGCTTCAGTGCCATCATGATCTGCTGCATCATATTCATCTTTCTACAAGTCTCCCTCACAGGTAAGATTTTTGGAAGAGATATAATTAAAGCATCTCACTTTTCCTTTTTAAGGTCATAAACAAGAAATGGGCATGCTTTTGATATAATCAGTGTATTGATTTTACCTTCTTTTCTCTTGTGAGGGGCTGCTGAGAGCGGTATAGTTGGTGGCAGGGAGGCAAAGCCCCATTCCAGACCTTACATGGCATCAATCCAGTATCAAGCCCAACATTCATGTGGTGGGATACTAATCCGGGAGGACTTTGTTCTAACGGCAGCACACTGCAAGTGAGTGCAGGGGCATTTCTTTTGTTTTGGGTTTCTTTGTAAATCAAGAACTAAAGAAAAAAAGTCCTAAAAATTGGTATTTATGTAACAATTACCCCCCAAAAAGTTAAGGATTTTATCTATTCAAAATATATCACTACTGAGTTATGTTTTAAACACAGTTTAACACACATGTTGTAGGTCTCCACTAAGATCCAGCGGCACATCACTTTCAGACTCACCTATCTATTCAGCAACACATTGTGTCCTATGACACGGGCATTTTAACCCCAGAAAATAAAAACCACACACACACAGATGTCGGTCTAACTATTTCATAATACTGTAAAGATGATTTCTCAGCCCAAATTTGTAGAGTCGTGAGCTTTGTAAGACAAATGGATGCAAACTACACTGATCAAATATCCACCACAGCATAACAGTCAAGAACTCGGGTTTTTCCTTGAATTTGTCACCTGTTCAGTATTTAAGCATATTGTAACCTGGCTGAAGAAAATTTGCTGTTATGAGTGTTTCATGGCTGTACTTTATAAACCTTTATTTTTTATGTATAATCAGTGTAACTGTATGAGATTTCAGGACATAAAAATGTTACCTTTGTTCAGATATGACAACAGAGGTCCTTGCACAGTGGTGCTTGGAGCACATGACATTAGCAAGAAAGAGAAAAGTCAACAACGCATCAAAGTGGCCAAGTACTACCGTCATCCAAAATTCAACGGGAAATACGATTATGACATCATGTTGCTTAAGGTAAAGCTAATAGGCCATCAAATTTCATTTTAAAGCATTTTTGTGCAGTGTACCTATTCACAGTTAAAGCTTTGTTATGCAATTTCACACTTGTGCTAGGTAGCAGGTGTGAGTGTGTGTTAATTGCTGACCTTTATATATAGAAGAAACTCCCCTTTCAATAACACGTTGATGTCTTTCACAGTTAGAAAAGAATGCCACACTGAATAAGTATGTGAAGACCACCGGACTACCTAAGAAGAATGGGAAAATACCTGCCAATATTAAATGTTATGTGGCTGGCTGGGGTCGGACTGGAAAAAATATGCCCGCCTCAAATGTTCTAAAGGAAGCCACAGAGAAGATGCAATTCAGCAATGAGTGCAAAAGTATTTGGCAAGCATATTTTAATTCTAATCAAATGATATGCACCAAGTTTACCAAGAAGGATGGAGGCGTTTGCCAGGTAATCAAATGTTAAAGGCAACCAGTACACCATTATTAATATTCAGAAAAACTAGTTTTTGTTCTTTATTCATAACAAGAAAAATGCAATGTTTTTAAAGACGACTTAATCAAGTCTCTCTGCTCTTTTTTTTTTATAGGGCGATTCTGGTGGACCACTTATTTGCAACAAGATGTCTCAAGGTTTAACAGCTTTTACTTTGGCAGATGATTGTAATAATCCAAAATATCCTCATGTCTACACTAAAATTAATTTCTTCATTCCCTGGATCAAGGAAAAAATGAAAGAATAGAGGAATGTTGCATAAGCCACTAGTGAGTGGAGAAGTGGGCTTTTTTCATTTACTGATTAAACAATTTGGTTGAATGGTCTTTGTATTAAAAAGGAATTCAAAAGTTGAAATGTGTATGTTAAGCATTTGGATAAACACACCTGATTACACACAGATATTGTGTAATAAACTTTAAACTGTACCTTTTCATTTTCTGAACTTTTCTTTATTCGCCTTTTCAATTTTGATTTCTAACTTTTAGGAACTTTTTATTTACTTTCATTACTTAATGTTTAAGCCAATGGAGCATGAGGCTGGGGTCTGATCACACCATAGTCCAGTGAAAACCTTTGAAGCTGAACAGTTTTCCTTCTGTGAAACTAGTCTTCAACACAAAAGTTCTAAAATGTTGCCCTTAAACATTCTGTTCCTCTGTTTGATTCTGTTACATGTATTGCATGTTTAAAAGATCATTTTTATTTAGCAAAGGTAAGACAAAAATAAAGACTAAGAAAAACTAACTGGACTTGGATCTCTTTGTCACATAATTATTTCTCTATTACCTATTACAGAACAGACATGTGCATACCTAAAACATTAGAAATTTGTTCTAAGAAGACTAGTTTTAGTCTGTTTCACACCATGTTTTACAGCACTTGATGTGTCTGCAGCAAATTCCCTTGGGTTCATGCAGTTCTGGGAAAACAAAATACCGCCACAGCCACAAACCAGGCATAAACCAAGGGTGTTTTGTTAACAATCTCATGTGGAATGTGAAAGTGAAAGAATGGATGTTGTGAACATGTGCTGCATGACATGTTTTAGTCTACCACGAGGTGTCACCAAAGTCAGTGTCTGTTTTAAATCACACCAGTGAACCAAAGACTGTGAAGGGGGCTCCTAGTTTGGACAACCAGGAAAAAAGCTGTGCATCAATCCATCCATGGAATGTCATTTATCTCAATCTGGGTGGTGGAGGCACGAGTCTAAGCAGAGGCACCCAGCCCTCCCTCTCCCTCCACCTCTCCTTGGGGAACACCAGTATGTTCTCAAGCCAGCTGAGATATGTAAAGCTTCCAGTATGTCCATCAGAGTGTGCATGTTACATATAAAGTGCTTGTATGAGTGTGTGTGAGTTATCTTTGTGTGTCACTGGTTTTGTTTAGTTTGCACTCTTAGCTTCTTCAAATGCACAGGAAGCACGACAGCATATAAATTTAAAGTCACATATTTAGGGGTTTTTTTTCTGAGTGTCTGACACTGTGCCCACTGTGTGTGCAGATGATGGTTGAAGCTGAAGTGATTTACCTGCTCAGCTTTTAGAAGAAAAAAAAATACAGAAGCAGAATTTTGCCTTTTCCAAGAACCACCACTAAACACCTGAACTTCCAGGCAAGTTTGTGCAATTGTATCATGAGTGTTCATACAGGAAGCTGCACAAACGCACTACAGTCGCTGAGGGAGAGAGAGAGAGCGATGTGTCATTAACACTGATTTCAATTTCAATTTATTTATTCATTGCCAAATCACAACAATAGTCACCACAAGGCACTGCAGCCCTCTGCTTACTCAGAGAGAGGTTTAAATCAGAGCAAGAATAAGTGACAGTATGGGCTAGATGTACTAACGCATTGCAAACTTTGTGAAACTAAAAAAAACACAAAAAAGTAATGTCAGTATTTACTAAAAATCAACAAAACTCAAAATGAATCAACAAAATGTCTTCAACATACCGTGGCTTCAGTTGCAGGAATTGCTCAGTCCATGTAATGGAGTTCACAGCTCTGACAGTGTGTGAGATATAGATCAAAAATACGCATGCGTGCATATGTTGTGCCCTCAAACTGGAGATGAATGAAGATACATGCAGCTCTCGACTTCTGTATAGAGTGTCAGTTACAAAAGACACAACCAAACCCGTATTCTCTCTGCAATGATAAACTCTGTCTCAGAACCACAGTTTCCAAACAAAGTTACTGTTATTTTCTGTATTAGCTGATGAGAAGACTTCAGGCAGTGCACAACATGAACTGTGACATAAGGTAAATACATCTAATTAACTCACATATTTTAGCTGACACTGCCTTTCCACAGTAATTAAATAATACTTTAGTTCTGTATGTCTTTCAGTAGTTAACTTAAATATGCAGACAGTGGCAGAAAAAACATCATTCAACATGGTGGGACAGTATTAAAAGCTAGCTTACACAGCTGAAACAGTCCACCATTCACCTCTTCCCTTACAATGAACAATGATGATGGAGTAAAAAAGTTTGTAGAGTTTTGTGCATGGCAGTTACCTTAAACAGGGGAAATAGTGAGGGGAGATGAATGACTACATTTCTGTGTACTGTAGTCCCAACCAAAGGCAGTACCAATGGATCTACACACAGTCAACCCAGGCACAATTCTCACCACTCCCTTTTCATTCCTACTGCATATTCCATACAGCAACACATTCAAAACAACAATTAAGTCAATCAAAAAATATAGGGAATAAAAATGTACAACCCTAAAAGGAATCAAATTTCTGATCCACCACACGCCAAACATTCCCCCACGAAATCAGCAAACCCATTTTTTTTCAATCACACATTTCCCATCATCAAAACATGATGTCCAATTGTTACTTCTTACAGTCCTACATTGGACTCTGTCAGTTACTGAAGTTTGTCTCCATTATAACGATTCTCTGCTAGACTGCCACTGTAGGCCTATATTTAACGTACACGTTCCATATTAATTTACTTCATTTTCTGTTTACAATTACAATGCTGCACCTGTCCTGCTAGAAAATTATCTTAAATTACCATGTCTTATTTTTTGACCGTGCTTGAAATTGCATTGCCTTTGGCAGACTGAGTATGTCATATTGAATTGACTGCATCTGTGTTTAGAAAACCAACGACCGAACTAACCACACCTGTAAGCAGTAATTTGTGGATTTTGCTCCCATTTTTGCCTCAATTAATAACTCTTGCAGAAAAAATTCAAAAACGTTTAACACTAGAATGGTAAAATAATCGAATCAGGCCCCAAAACTACAGAAAAACATACACCGGTACCAGAATTTAATGATATCTAAAGATTCAAAGTGTTGCATTTTTAGAATAATGAAACCAAAACTGAGCATCCCAGTATCGATCAAGGCCCGTCTGCAGTGTACTCTAAACCTGATTGTGCTGATGGTGGTGGAGGCTTTGCTACAGGTGGTACCGGACTCCTCATCAGTGTTTATTCACTCATAGCTGGATGTTTGATCTCTTTTATTTAACATTAAGCTGTGTTTTTTTCTTCTTTTGGGTGGTTTGTGCAGCTGTGGCTTAATGCTGCTTCTGTTTCTTAATGTGAATATATAGTATGAGTGAAGATGAGACTAAAATGACTTTAAGCTTTTAAAACTCAACTAAATATATTTTTAAATTATGTTTTTAAAGCAGCTACAGGTACTCTGATTGCAATCTGATTACACTGCACATTAAGCCTGATTGCTGACATATCGTTGCTGACATACTCAAATCAGTCTCAGTGGGTTGACCTACAACCTGATCCACCAAAAGGCATATATCATAGGCTCTACTATAAACTGTGTCTGGATTGGAGTCTGCTTGCACAGAACCAGAAGTGTATTGCTATGTGTTTAATTAGCGCATCCGTCACGCACACACGCGCGTGCATGTTTGAGGTGTAATTTCCGCCTCTCTTTAACTTTGATGCCATCTCGCTCCTTCATCTGCTCTCTGAATGAATGAAATCCATATGGGGTAAGACTGTCAATCTAATGCACTTGATCTTTCTGAGTCCCACTAATAGCAGCCTCTTTGAAAGACTTGCATACAACCGATCTGCGAAAAAAAAAGAAAAAGAAACCGCGCAAAAGTGATCTGTGATGTTGCAGAGCTGTCACGCGCTCCTTCACAGTCTCTCACTGTGTGCTTATTTCTGAGCCGCTAATCCACTCAAGTCAGGTAATCATTAAGATGTACTGACTGCATCTTTGCATGGAAATCAGTGCACCGTTAATAGATCAACAAAAGAATTTTCCACTTGCATGGGTGCAATTTTGCAAATGCATCGTAACACTGACATCTCGGCCTAATCTGGCCCTTGATATCATGATGACAGCTTTGATCGCTTGTTATTACGTTTCTTGCAGGAAATACTCTAACAGTAGAAACTGAATTTCAACCAGTTCAACTAACTGAATATTTTATTTCCTCTCCTAATTTTCCAGCTCATCCTACCCAGATCGGTTTATAACGTCACAATATTTTGAATCATCATCTGTGTACATCCTCCCAAAACTATACTGAAATATTTAAAATCTATAAAAACAAGACATTTGCCTTTACTGATAAAGCTTTACATTCTTTAAAGACTTGGAAAGCTGCCCTGCATTCTTTGAGTTATACGTGAAATTGCTCTGAAACGTCTCTGTTGTGGCTGTAAGAGATCCATCATCTGTGAGTAAAAGTGGGATTGGCTCATATTAGAAATGATTAAACTGGGAGACATTAAAGCAAATCTAAGGATATGTATCCACTAACAGTAGAAATAACAAAACCCTCTCTTTAAAGAAAAAAGGTTTGTAACATTTAATTGGGACATTTAAATTTTACTAAATACTCATTAAAACAACGTAATGCTCATAAACTGCTACAAAAACAGTTTTTATTTAATACACTGTATTCAGGGCAGATCCACCTTGGGGTCTGATGCTATCTGGGTAACTAATATCTCGATCCATCAGTAAACTGCGTGTGATCTATTTCTTCAGATTTTGAACTTTAGTTTCCGTGTCCTACATTTTATTCCTGTTTTGTTACAGCTAAATAATTTAGATGTAAACATCAAATGTAAAATTTAGATTTCAGCCTATGTATTTACATTCTGCCCGACACCGATTGTGAAAAATGAAGGGGCCCTGCAGTGAAATGTAGAGTTGATCCGCCGAGTGTGCGCCTGTAGACTCAGCCTATAACCACCTGTTGAAGGTAACATGCTAACATATGGAGCACCACAAGAGCCACGTGCATCAAGTAAAGACTTTTTTTGCTTAAATAATGAATTGTACAATAAATTATGCATTTGTAAATTCATTTACAGATTCATTTATTTATTATTTTACTTATTCAAACGTTAATAAAGTTATTTATTATTTAATAATCGAATTTAAAATAAAAACACTATTTTTCGGTGTGTGTGGCTCTGTGGTCCTCCATAGATGAGGTCTTTATTTCAGAAACATGAGTTCCTGCTATGTCTTCTATTTAGTGTTTTCCCTTTATTTAGCTACATCATCAACTACAACAGCTGCAGGATCAGGAGTGCTGTCTTCCAATGGTGCAGGTTCATTGGCGCTCAGTTGTTGTAGGCTTTGTCCTGAACAGTCTCTCCCTGCAAGAAAAATGATTCATGTATTAACTTTCAACAGAGCAGCTGTGTACGGCATATGTGTGGATCTTTTTCCAATGGATCTCAACACCGTAAAGGGTTGACACAGAGCAGAGACATCTGTGCCTGTGCTTAATTTCGTGTTCTGAGTTCCAATGGAGGAAAAGTGGTCTTCATGAAGTTATAGTTTGAGGTTATTTTACACCCTGAAATGTTTCTCTCTCACAAACTTTGTGTTGTAGCTTTCATTGGTAACTGCTTCAGAAGGTGAGCTAAAATGAAGAGATTGATACTAATTTTCCACAGCGGTTTAAACCTGGTGCATTCTCTCAAAGATGTTGCAAATTAAAGGAAGAAAAAAGCAAAATAAGTATGTACTCAGTTGTCCAGTTGTTGCTGCCAGTCACTAGTGTCAAATCGGTTGCAAAGAAATATACGGTGCCGCACAAAAAAAATCCTTGTGATTGCATGAAAAACACCAACTTGTCTGCAAGCATTGCAAATGTGTTTTTTTTTTACTTTAAATGGAAACTGTCAGTTTCCAGTTTGTGTCAAACTTTACAGACTTTCATTAAAACTCGAAGAGTATTTGGGTAGTATTTGCAGATAAGTGGACGTCTTTCTTGCAAACTACAGGCAAGTGCAGCAACCTTATGGTGTAGCACTCTCTTTTTCATAGCAAATGCAAGCAACCACTCACCAGCCAATCAAGTAATAACACATTTTTACCCAGCAACCAGAGTTTGCTAAGGGGTCAGAGTCACTTTGTCATTTTCTAATGATGTATATAGTCATACATTTTACTCAGTACTGCTGTTACTGATCCTCCGCACAGTATTTGATGTAACCAATTTTTAAACATTTAATTTCATAATTAATAATTACAAAGGAAAAGGAGCAAAATTCAAAAGTTTACAGACTTTTCATTTTTCGGCAGCCAATGGCGGCTCCTGCTCCGAGTATTACTGCAAGTATTACCGGTACTCCAAGAACAGCTCCCAAAGGCAGACTCCAGCCTTCATCTGTAAATCAGGAACAAGACACAGTTACAACAGTCAGTTGTGTTACTTTACCTACAACTTCAACACAAAATTAATCCTTAGTGCAAAAATCATCTAAATCTAAACAGCACTGTAAACTGAACTTTAGGTTAACTGCTCATGGGAATCTGTATGAATGAAACACAGAAAGCTTCCACGAACTGATGGGAATTGATGTGCATCTTGAATTCTCTTGCATGAAAATGGTAACATTGTAAGCTACTGTAATTCAAATCAGGATTGTTGGGGGCCACACTTTTTTCAAAAAGTTACTTTAAGAACTTCTCTGGTTTGAAGAGATTAGTGTTAATATAATTATGAATTCATTCACTCAAATTGTATCTATAAAAGATTTGCTACTACTAAGTCTGCAATGGAGAATTAGGTTATTTTCTAGGCTTGTCAAGGCTTTTGGCTCGATGACATGAAATTACAGGGAAACAGACCTACAATTGATGTTATTCTGGGATGAGATGTATGTAATTCTGGCAGTTTCAAATTTCACAGTGCGTTTTTAAATTTACAGCAAAATTACATATATATATATATATGTGTGTGTGTTTTTGTCTGTGTTTAAGATGAACTGTGACTTAAGACTTAGAGTTCTGCCTCAGGAGTTGAACCTCAAGTTATTCTATGTTTTTGTCATTGTTGGTTGATTAATAAACACAGTGGTTTACATATCTATTTCAAACCTATGGATATGGATTCTGAATTTATTTGAAAAGTCAACTTCAGGCTGAAAAGCAAAAATGATCCTTGGAGTACCTGTAATTACGTCTTTAATTACACTCAATGTCTCCTTTGAAGTTGGGTTGTAAACGCTGCATGTAACTTTCTGTGATCCTCTGATGTTGGCAGTACTGGTAACTCTGTAGGTGCCATCATCTTCCTTGTAGATCTCAAGGGTCTGGACATCAGGTGGTTCAAGTGTACGTTCATGTCCCTCGTGGTCCACGGAGATCCATGATAGCGCTGGTTCAGGAAAGCCCCCCTTTGTTGCACACATAGCCATCATATCTATGGTGTTGACCACAATATTTGGCATCTCAAAACGAGCTGGAAATGAGTCAGAGATTTTTCACATGTATAAATGTTAGAATTTTCATACAAATTTTAAGAAATCAGAGATCATTATTGTACAAATTAACCAAAACATAAACTAGTCACTAGTTTTATCCCTCAATCATCACTCAACTCAGTGAATAAATACATGCAGCACTCGAAATAATCATCACGAGCCACCTGTTTTATTATCCTTAAGATATGTGCCTGAACACTGCCTGAAGGGTTTCATCTTTTCAATCCCATTGGACATACAGTTTGTATTTCACATATTTAACAAATACTGATATTTGCATCCATGTTAATTAAGGTGAACTATACCTGCTACATGAACAGTGGTTTGGCAGAGCGTCCTGCTTTCTGGTATGTAAGCAACTTCGATGCTGAGCTGATCGTCTTTCAGCATCAGCGGATTGATGACAAGGGAGAAGTTGCCAGAAGCCAGTTGATCACGGAAAATTGCAGTCCTGTTTTTAAATGACTCACTTTGGTGTTGAAATTCCTCTTGTCCTTTTGAAAAAACATGAAGAACGATGGAATTACTTTGCCAGTATATGGAGGTTTGCTCAGGAATGAACTTTTTGCTGAGGTTGTGATGGCACTGAAGGACCAGCGGTGCCCCTCTGGTTCCATTTGTTTCTGATGAAACTGGCACCAAGAACCAGAACAGCAGACCTGCAGGGAAACAGAGAAACATCCAGCTAAAAAAAAAAAATCAACATTCCAGACAGTAGAGCTCTGAATCTCGTAAAATACTTTCTGACCTGTGGAACGTAGTACTTTATTGTACTTTATACAGTAAATTGAGACTAAAAGAAGTCCATTTAGATTCACTCAATTCAGACGTCATAACCTGAAGACTTGTTTAAGCCTAATTAATCAGCTGGTAAAATGGAAAAAAAAATGCAAGTTATAATGCAATAAAAGTTATGTCCAAATGGGACTGGTAGACTGGAGCTGCTCCGTTTACTGCTCGGTATGTAAGTACAAGTATTTTAAAATTAGTCTTAAAATACATCAGGAGCCTGTGTAAAGAGTTCAAAATAGGAGATAAGTTAGGCGTGTAGAGCAAGGGTTCCCCACAGAGAGCCTGCACAAAGCCGTTTTTTTCTTGGACTCAGGCAGGGCAAGGGAATCTGCCAGTAGCCCTTGGTCAAATCCAACATCAAGAAAAAGTGAGCAGTGCCTAACTGGTCAGGGAGCTTGTTGACCCAGGGCATGGAATAAGTGTCAAAGTGTGAAACTTGATTCACCTTAGGGTAGTCAACACAAAACTATATAGAGCCATCTTTCTTCACAAAAAGAACTATGTTACTTTACTCCCATTTTTAGCATTTCAGCCAATTCCCTCTGAACAATTTGCCACTTATGCTCAAGTAACCAATAGGGCCACGCCTGTGTGTGTATCAAAATAGTGCTCATAAGACTATCATTAGACTCGCAGATATCGGAGTCATTATTTGGTCATGAGACTAGTATAGCTGAGCAGGGTGGAGAACAAATCTGCAAAACACCGCTACTCTGCTACTCTGCTCTCTGGGGCTGTGTGAGATGGTTGCCACAATGGCGGGAGGCAGGAATCGTGGAATTATGCACCGCCAGCCCCAACTCATCTCTCACCGTCACCAGGCTCACCAGAGAAGTGGTTTCAGCCTCTCTTCATGCTTTTAAGAGTTTGAGGTGATATATTTGTGTGGCTCCTCCCCTGTCTGACAGTATGATGTTATAGTCAACGCCACCACGTGACCACAACGAGACCACAACGAGACCTTACCACTTGGCAAGTAACTTTGAGCTAAAAGAAAGGAATAATACAAGCACTTTGTGGCGATCCCAACTGCATTTATCCTCGTGAATGAACTTATGAATCATGGGCTTTTAAGTCTTGTTCAGTGTCTACCACCCGTCAGTCTGAGGGTGGTAGACACTGGTCCAAACAGATTTAATGCCCAATAATTCATACAGCTCCTTTAGTGTGCGAGACATGAACCATGTACCCTGGTCAGTCAGTATATCTTTCAGGATGAAGAATGGGAGATGACCTGAAACAGTGCTTGTGCCACACTCTTTGCAGAAACGGTGCGCAGCCTCACTGCTTTGGGATATCAGATTACATGATCCACCAGAACTAATACAAAGCGATATCTTTGCGAGGACTCTGGTAAAATGGCCTGATGAGGTCGACACCAAAGACTTTAAATGGGACCTACATTAATGGTAATAGGCACAAAGAAGCTTTTGCAATCACAGGCTGGTTAACCAGCTGGTAGCGGAGTGGGCCTACTTGTAGACCCACTCTATGAACGGTTTGAGCACGATGTGGTTGAGCAGCCTACGCAGCTGCCAACTCAAGCGCCTTGAGGCGACTTTTGTTGTGATTTGGCGCATATAAATAAAATTGAATTGAATTGAATTGAACTGTGCAGTTTTCCAGCTCCCCTGCTCTGCCCTTCAGCCAGTTTATTTTAAGCTTTAATTCAACCAGATTATTCTTTTCCTCAGTAGGAAAACAGCTCCAGTGAGCTAAACTGCACAATACCTTAGACTTCACACAATGGTGCTAACTGCTAGACCACGTCACCTTTTGTTTTTTTAACCCTCCACATGCACACACAGTTAGATGCATAGAGCAACCTTCAGGTTCAGGATCTCACTTCCAAGGCAACACTTCAACTTTTAGGCTGACAAATGACAGCCACTATTTTGTTGGCTTACGTGGTCATCAGACAAAAAGAGTTCTCCCACGACACTCGAACTACTTTCACGTCTCACACAACATTTTTATCGCTGAATGTAACAACTAACAAGACAGCTGATGAGATTAGTAAATAATGATATTATAAACTGGATTAATAGAAAGAGCAGATTTCATAAGCACAAAGGTCACCATGCTAAAAGAAGTACATATGCGCACACTTTGCTTCACATACATTTTTGCAGTGTCTTGAAGGCATATAACAAATTTTCAGACATACCAAACAAAGTGGAGAAACAACTCATTTCCATTTATAGTAAAAGGAATGTCCTTTTGTCAGCAGCAGGATGATATGTACAGAATGACGAAACAGGAAGGAAGCGTTTGAGCATGTGCAAATGTAGTTTCAACTACATAAGGGGAAAAAACGTTAAAAAACAGAAAAACATTTTCTTTTATTAATTAATTTTATTTTTTGGCTCTCATTCTCGTTATGACTGAAGGATACTGTAAATGATACCTGTATGTGTTAATAATGTAGATGATTTTCTCCATACTGCTCCACAGGTCACTCAAAATAAAATATTAAAGCAGATAAATCAAAACATGCTTCAGTTCTGGGCTCATGTCTTATTTTGACTTTTTTGTTTCACTGACAGTAGCCTGAAAAGCAGACAATAAATACCTGAATTAAAAAATAAATAAATAAATGCTCTTATGATTAACACAGTATAAAGAATAAAAGTATCCCAATTAGATGAACATTATATATTTTTTATATATGGTTTATAGATAGAAAAAATTAAGGTTTTAGGAAGAGAATCAAGCTCACTTCTTATGGAGAAAAAAAAAAGAAACTATGTGGTTCAAATGACCAACATAAATGCAATAAAAATATTTTTAAAGGATAACCAGGACCAGAATGACCCCCCCCCTCCCCCTACCTGATGATTGGAGTTTGAAGCCGAAAAAATCAGATTAAATATTCCTTGAAGACCCTGACAAGAGAATAGATGGCTCCCGTGCAGACTTCTGAATATGTGTGAATATGTTTCTTTCTGTGAGAAAGAATCAGACCCACACTGCGTAAACAACCGCAGCCCTCGCTGTCTGAAAGGCAGAGCCGCAGACTGCGCAAGAGGGGCGTCTGCAGCTTCGTGATGTGAATCTGGACCCGATCCAAAGTGCATTAATACTCTGCAGCATTTAGGTCTACATTACAGAATACAAAACGTTAGTCTTGTGTCTTCTGCTTGTTATTTAGCTTCACTTCCTTTTGAGTTATGTTACATCGCTTTTGTACCCACTGCTACCTTTCGCCTCATTATCTTCAAAGCCTAAATTGTCTGACAAAGCCTGTCCCGTGAGGATTTTATACTGAGAAGACTTAAATTTGGCTCACATTATGCACCACTATGTGGTGCAACTTGGTCCCTCAATAGCAAACAAATCAGGACCTACTTACTGTAGCTTGCAGTGGCAGATATCATGTAGTCCAGGGCTGGAAAAGTACAAAAACCTAGCCTAGCACCCAGTCTATCTAAGGTGGAGCTGTGGCTGTATATGCTCATTCATGAATTGAAAAGGAAGCTCATAAATGATTAAAAACAAAAAGCTTTACAAGAATGCTTCATTTAACAGACCCACTGCTCTGCATTTGGATAGACTGTTGTGTTGTGACATTGTTTGTGTTTCTGTTCTCTAAACTGTGTAATACTTCTTCAATTCAAAGTAAAACATAACCAGTGGGTCACATCAGGGGGACAGCAATCAAAACTTTAATCAGTTCCCCAATTTATTTTATTTTTTTTACTGTTTAAAAAGAGTTTGGTGGATTTTCTGAGTAAAAGCCTCTACACACAAGAAACATAAAATCTGTGCAAATATATCGTCCACTAAAAATATTTTATGACTCACCTATTCTTGATGCAACCCAACACGAAATTACGTAGGAGGAATTTGCAACGTTAATTTTTTGAGGTTAAGCTAAATGTTTCCAGTGTTTCGGTTGCATATGAACACATCTAACCAATCACATCATTGTCTGGTGGTGACACAGTCAAAGTGTTGAACATGGTGTTACATTTGATTGTTGTTGTGTCACAATCAGCTCTTGAAATTATTTCTCTGCCTCCTCAAGTATGGTCTCATTTCTCTGCTAACAAGAGTTCAACTGGCCCCACTGACATTCCAAAATAAGCGCAAAAGCATCGCCGTGAAAGCTTCAGACTCCTGGATCCCTAACATGAATTCTCGCATGCTGTCTTCTCATTGAGAATGGAGTGAACACAGAATTCTCAGTTTGTCTCCTTTTTTGGTTTAGTAAAATCAGGACTAGCTCACCATCGCTTGATTCGACTCCTTTCTTTCACAGTGTGTTATTTGAGGTGACAAATTTTCTGCAAATACTTCAGTGTGTATTAGGTTACATAGCATGTTTGGATCCGTAAAATTCGGAATTACGTGACGTTTTTATGAAACGCTTCTGGTGTGTAAAGCCTTAGCAGGACAAAAACAGCTGTTTAGTAAATTCTGAAATTAGCTGCATTCTGCTTACATTATCAGAAAACTACTTAAATCAAGCTGTCTGACTGGTTCTTAATTACTTCTGCGATATCATTGCCATTTTATAATCAGTTACAAAGTTTTCCTTTTTGATGACTATGCCTGAGGAAACAAAGAGGAAAAAATTGAACTGCTTTCACTTCAACAAACTGAGTCTGCTTTATGTCCCAGACAGAAAGTCAGCAAGAATACATCTGTGGCAGAAAACAAAAACAAAAAAGGATCCATGGACCACAAACCTACTGTGCTTCACCAATATTTCTGGTAACTAACAACTGCAGCCAGCAGACAGTTGCAAAAAGGAGAATATATGTGCTGACGGTGATTCATTCTTGTAATACAGGCTTGAGAAATAAAGTTTACATTTTGGCATCATCATAAAGCAACACTGCTGACTTTCTTTGCTTTGCTGCCATGGTTTCTGGCTGCAAAACAAAGACAACTGAAGTACAAGTGCATTGTGGGTAAAATATAAAGGCTCCTATCCCCCTAAATACTCTGATCGCTGCTCAGAAACAATCAATTTAACACAAGGATCTTGCCGCGATTCCTAACCTGCCAATGATGTGCTTCCAAGACCCTAATATGACCTAAAATAGTATTATATAACATACTATATATTAATATTAGTAGTTTCCATAACAGTAGTATACTATTTCACTTTGATTTTTATCATGATTAGTTATGATGATGGTGCAAGATGAAGATGTTCATATCTGACTGAAACACAAACAACAAACCAAAAACATCCCGTGAAGCTCACACTGACGCGTGGTTGTAAGCCAATCAAGTGCCAGCAGCTAAATCCATTTCGTCATATAGACATGATCAAAACAACCTGCTGATGTTCAAACTAAGCATTAGAATGGGGAGAAAAGGTGATTTATGTTAATTTTATGAACATGTCATGGTTGTTGCCAGGCAGAAACTGACAATCTACTATCATTTTCAAACACAAACATCTCTTGGGTTGTAAGAGAGCAAATATTCAATGAGTGGCAACAGTAACTCAAATGACCAAACACGATTACAACCAAGGGAATGCAGAAGAGTATGTCCAAATGCAAATGCAGAATCTTGATGCTGATGGGATACAGCAGCAGACGATAAAGCCAGGTGACACTCCTGTCAGCTAAGAACGGGAAACTGAGAGTACAGTTCACACAGGTTCAGTAAAACTAAACAACAGATGACTGGAAAAATATCTGGTCTGATGAGTTTCAATTTGTGCTGCAACATTCAGATGGTCAAGTCAGACTTTGATGTAGACAACATAAAAACGCAGACCCATTCTGCCTTTATCAGCGGTTCCTGCTAGTGGTGGACAAGTAATGGGGTGGGGAATATTTTCTTGGCACACCTTCAGCCCATTAGCACCAAATGAGCTTTAAACACTCCGCCTACCCTGAGTATTGTTGCTGATCATGTCCATCCCTTTCCATGGCTGCCCCAAACAAGATAACACCGCGAGTTAACGAACAAAAGATTCACATCATGGATGCAGTGCACACATTTGGTGCAATTGTGTGATGCTATCATGTATAATATCATATGAACTGAAATCTCTGACGAATATTTCCAGTATTTTGTTTAATGAAGAATTAAATTCTTAATGAAAAATGAGGTTCACACCGGACCTAGCAAGGTGTACCTAATAAAGTGGGCAGTGTGTGTACAGTGATTGAAGATACAAAAACAATGGAAACCAAAGATACTACCACAGAAAGCAGTGTAAATTAAACTGCCCGTATCAGATCAACAAGAAGATTACTGAACACAGAGCAAGCGAACAGACTGAGAAGAAGGCAAAAAATGATCAAAGTGAAGATCAAAGGAGCTAAACGTAAGAGAGACAAAACAACTTCAAAATCAATGAAGAAAAAAAGAGCAAATAGAGCAACAGGAAGTTGTGTGATTTTTTTTGATGCAACAGTTTTTCTATTTTGTCTAACCATGAGATATCCATTTGATAATCTTACCTTTCGGCCCCTGTTGGTTTTCACACACACTGTTTCTATGTTAGGCGGGCAATGGAAAAACTGTCAGGTATCCTCGTTGGATCTGTAAACACACGTGAGTCATGTTCTTCCTTTTCTATCATATTAAACTGATTTCATATCTGCATCTAATGGCAGGTGGTTCTCAATATTAAGGAAGTCATCTGAACGTCTTTGTCTGACAGAGAGTGGAAGCTTGTCGTGCAGAGGTGAACAGAAAATATATGCTCACTCTTCTGTTTTATTTTCTAGCTCTCGATGTCGGAAAGGCTCAGATTATTGAGTCTCCCTAGAGTACACTTAGTTTAATATTCTGCTTTAATACTCTGACACGTTACCCAACTCTCACTTCCTCTTCAATGGCAACCAAAGCACGTAGGCTTTATGTAGTCACAGGGCACTGATAATGCAGATATTAGCTGCTCTCCACAGCAGAGCTTTACTTCGGTATTATGAAGACTTTATTACTAGTCATTCTAGGGGGAAAGGCCCGATGAAGACTGTCGAGTCAAAAGAAGGCATCTTGTTAGTCTCCGTTGCACATGACCTCATTTTTAGTGTCCGTGCTCACTAACACGTGTTTTACTCGCTGCTCTTTGACAAAAGGCTCACAAAAATGTTGATCCTATTTGTACTTTTTTTCAGTCTCACGATCGGTAAGCTATCACCTTTTTATAAGACCATTTTCATTCAAAGCTGTGTGCGTGTTTGTGTACATGATGGAACTGTACCGTTTGGCTTATCTGAGAAGAAATTCATTTTAAAGATAAGAGTGCTTGGTATTAGACTGTCACAGGATTTGAGGAAGTAGCAATCATTAACAGTTGTCCATTTTATTTTTTTTTTCCATTTTCAGTGGGTAATGCAACACTGGTGTATGTTAACACCACTATCACCGACTCAGCAGTCCTCGAATGTAGTATACAAAATAAAAATATCACAGACTGGAGTAATGTTCGTTTTTATTGGCAAGATAACAGGGATTTTGTGTTGTATTCCTATAATGAAGGAAGAAAGATGGCTGAGCATGTAAATGACTACTATAAACACAGGGTCTCAGCCTTCCCTCAGGACATAATTAGAGGAAATATCAGCATCATAATCAAAAACCTGACTCTTGAAGATAACGAAAGGACTTTCTGGGCTTTTGCGGCAGTCTTGGACGGCAGCGTGATGAAGAAATACCACCTGGAACACACACAGATCTGCCAAGTAACTTTACAGATCGGTGGTAAGAAAGGTTTTCAGTCTTTTTCACAAAAATAAGAAAGAGAAGTTATATTGTCATATAAATAAGCACCTACAGTCAGTGGAGATGACATTGATTTTATGCTATTGTGGTTAATGTAGAATGTGTAGTTTCCTCCTTTCAGGCACTGCCAACAGTGACAATGCTAATATTTGCATTTAGTGATTGTAATGATTATTTATTGGTCAAGTGACAGCTAGGTTCAAATCATTTTGGACAAAGACACAGTTTGTGTATTTTTGCTCTGTGCACAACCACAGTGGGTTTTAAATCAAACAGTCAAGATGTGCTTGAAGTGCACAAGCTATTCAGGAATTATACATATTCACCTCATCCAGCCGAAGGACTGATGAGGTTATGCCATTCTGAAGAATCTGGCATGAAGAATCGCTACTCCTGTTAGAGTAATATTCACTTTCTTTATTCAAAAATTTTTAGAAAGATGGAAATGGTCTTCTGTCCCCTTCTCTCCTCAGTTCCTTATCAGAATCCCAGGCTAGATGTTAATATGAAAACAATGACTGCAGTGTGCACTACCCAAGGAGGATTTCCTGCCCCTGAGATACAATGGGTCCTCCTCTATACCAGCTCTCATCAATCAGTAGAGTCGAGGAACATCCAAACTACAACGATGCAGAATTATCACGACCGCCTTTACAGCTCCCGCAGCACCCTACTAATCCCTGCAGGTCCTCACGAGGCCGTGAGCTGTCTCATCCACAACCCGACTTTGAACACGACAATGAGGGCCACCGACACTTTCAGCAAAGGTATGTTTGGCGCCATCCAGTGGACTGAGAAAAGTTAAACTGGAGATAGAGGGGATCTCACTAATTTCACATGTAATCTACATGCCAGTACAGTCACTCGAGGTTACACAACATAATATTTGTGGTAGTGGTTTTTATTTTATAGAATTTAATAAAATGGACAGTAAAAACCATATATCTATTTTTTTAGCGGTCAGATATTTTGTATTTTCCAACTCTGATCACTTTTTCTGTGTTTAATAATTAACTGCAAAAAAAATTGATGAATGAAAGAATGAATAATTATCACATCAATGTCAAAACACTTTTCTTCCAGTGGAAGTAGCGGAGGTGCTTTGAAGCCAGAACTATGAGTCCACTTATTGTAGCTCATTATTCTCTTCCAGTGTTAAAGCTTGGCCATCTTTCGACTTGCATGACAATGACTGTTCATTTAAAAGTATTTGAGGTGTATCAAAAAGAATAATTTTAATTCAAAAGGCTATATTTTTTGCATCCCAAACGTATAAATGTGTCCCCCTTCACAGACACAGAAAACCTGTCCCCTTGATGTTACACCCTGTGTAACGCCCATTTTAATCTATTTGGTGCTGAAAACAAATTACAAACAAACTATTAAGAGAGGAGGGAGTTTGCAGCTGTTATGAAGCTGAGCGGTTTCATAATCACCACTTTTGTTTTTGCAAACTAGACATGGTGAGCTCATATGCAGAAAGCTGTTAGCCACAAATAAGAACAAAAACAGCAGTTATTTCAACATCTCTGTCATCAGGATGTGAAACAGTAGGACCTCAAAACACTGAGTAACCTTTAAAGTTTCTGAGCTCTACTATGTAGCTGTCATGGCAAGAATACTTATCATGATAAAATAAATGCATTTGTAGTTGCTGTTTGCCCAAAATTATAACTCATAATCAAAACAACGCTGGTATGAATCAGTCCAGAAAAATTACTAGCGCAAATCAAAGCATCTAAAGCACATTTTTAACAAGTTTGAATTATTAAATTATTAAAATTTGGAAACCACAAAAGGGTCCTCCAATATTCACTCACAAATTCAGGATATCAACCATTTTCTGCAGTTTTGCATTATCAGTGTTGCTTTTTGTCATATTTATTTTGTATTCTTTTTGTATCTGTTCACTTCATCTCCTGTCTCAGACTGAAGTAGAACAACAATGATCTGTTCTCGTGCAGAGGAAATGTCAAATTACGTGTCAAACGCCCTCCCCACAGCTCAGAGCTTGAAGCAGAAAGTCACATTCAGTTTGAGACAGATTTCATCTTCAATTTACGAGCAGTCCCACTGACTGAGACTCATTTACTCAGTCCTGTAATACTGACTTAAACTCTCATGTGACAGTTTTACCTCCTGTAGTTTATTCCTGGAAAAAGAGGCTTTTAAAGCTGATGTGGCTATTTCTGTTCTGACTCAGGTCACGAACATTTTAAAACCAGTATAGAGGTATGTGCAGCGATAAGAATCAGTCTAAGGCACAGGTGTCAAAAGATCTAGTCCCCAGGCATGAATTGGCCTGGTAAAGGTTCCAAAACTGTCCTGCAGAATGGCTTTGGAAAATGTGAAGGAAGGGGAAAAAATTTAACAGTAGTTTTATAGGTTTTACAGTTTTCCCTGCAGATAAAGACCCCCTCACAGCCATTCAAGTACTTAACAAGTAGTTATATGACAGAAAGGTTCCTGTTTTTCATTGTCTTCTGTAGAAATTTCAGTTAAGTTAATAAAAATTCCATGTTTTATAAATACAGGAAAGTATAGGAGGTGAACTACCAGAATTTTCTCTGTAATTTACACATTTATCATGTAGAAAGACTGAGATGTGCTGTTGAAATTGCAAGTTTTTATCTTATATTAGGCTCCCACTCCCACGTGACTTAAAACCAATAGAAAAATATTTGGACTTTTTTTTGTCCATTCAACGCTGCCAGGTTGCCCCTCAGACTGACCAGGAGCTCAGTGATACCCTGGTCCAAATCTGGGAAGCAATCCCCCAGGATATAAACCATCATCCAGTTATGAGCATGCCCTGATGTTGTCAAGCAAGCACGTTGGCCACGCCCACACAAGCTACTAATTGCCATTTTGAGTTGCTGTAATTCAATTTAAGGAAAATGTAAATATAGCACTTTTCTACTCTTCTGAGCACTCAAAGCACTTTATACAACTTGTGCATTCACCCATGCACACTTTTTAAGTGCTTTCTGCCTAACATTCATATTCCAATGGATGCATCGGAGAGCAATTTGGGGTTAGTATCTTGCCCAATATTTGGAATGCAGACTAGCCAGGAATCGAACCATCAACCTTCCAAGCTGTTGATGACCTGCTCTACCGCCTGAGCTACAGCCACCCCAATCAAGCCTGTCGTATAATTTTGTTTTCACGCTGGTTTTTGTGGTGTTCTCAAATTCAGCCCTCTGTAGGTACCCAGTCACATCAGTAAAGAATGTGTGTTTTCAAAGTGTTCCTAATTTTTACAGCAGTGCAGAATAGCTTACATGTTGGTGTGTCTCTGTCTGCAGGTGCTGGAGTGACGAGCTCCCCTGAATGTCTGATATCTGCTGCTGTGTTTCTTCTAACAGCTCTACACTGGCTGTGATTCACAGCAAAGGTTTTTTCTCTTTAGGATCTATCATGTTAAACAGGTGATGTTTTAGGCTATTTACAGCATTTTCGATACAGAAACATAGATGAAGGACATTCCCACATCTTTGCATATGTAACAGCCTAAAGGAAACAACTACTGTGCTTTATTGCTTTTCCAATTTTCATACAAGACTTACAGCTACATTAATCTGTCTGTTTCAGCCACCTGACATAGACTGATCCACCCATCCATGTTCTGCTGTTGGTACCAGGGTCTGGTTTTGGTAATGGACTACTCCAGAGGAGTGATTTTACCTCATGCTGAAAATACTTCGTGCCATGGAGACACTTCTACTATCCATAATTCAAACTTACTAGTTTAATTCTTTTGCATGTTTCACCCTACCTTTGCATCATTATAATCTCCTCCTGGCTGTCTCTTCAGCAGTAAGTAGAGAAAAAGAAGGGCAATCACAGGGCAAACCACTGTGGCAATTTTTAAATGTTAATACTCTTTGTAATTTATTTTTCTTGACTTACTTGTTTTGTACTTCATTTGGTAGTGAAAGGTGTTCAGAGTTGGTTGGTTGGTGCTAGTGTGGGTTTCATAGAGTCCTCCTGTGTGCCAACAATCTTTTTTTATACTTTAGTCTTATTATTTATTCTTTTAGTCTATTGAAAGACAGTTAAAAGGAAATTATATTTCTAGTAAAATCAGGAAAGTGCTTTCCAGAAAGTTTGTTTTAAAACTCAGAAAAAGTTCCAGACAGTGTTAAAGTGGGATTGCCAGGTGGGAAATGACTCATTCAACATTTATCAAAAAATTATGTGTACTGTGAATTACAGTTGTCTTTCTGGACAGGCTGAGAACTGTGCTCTAGCTACATTTAGCTAAGAAGATGTTACGAGGGCTATTGGGGCCGCTTTCCAACCCCCAGCCTGCATGACACCAGTAAAGAAATACAGAATAACAGTAATATCGAATACATTCGCTTACCTTTAAACTGACGACTGAAACCTTTGAAACCAACTGTGAGCATCTGCTTCGTATCAGTCCAACATCCATCACTGTGAACTTTGATTTGCTGAAAGACACTTGACAACAAATTAAACAAACAAATCAATAAACATAAACATAGATTATGAACCTCAAATGTTCTGGAAATAAACATTTATAAAACACATCTACAGTCATTTGTCCCTTTTTTAAATACCAATCCTTGTTATAAAACAAACACAAGCATATCAGTGGATAGTTTGACACAGAAATATAGCAAAGGTTAATCTCACACATACACTGTATGTGTTTCCTATTGAACTAATCATGATTAAAGTATATCCCGTATGTGTGGTATATATTCTGGGGACATGCATTTCTGTGCCAGCCACCAAGCCAGTGTTTAGCTTAGCTAACTGTACGGTGCACCAGTTAGCACTAAAAACTGAAAGAAAGCTTAAAAAGATTTCCAAACTTCAGTTAGCATGTTTAGAAAATACAAGCAACACAGTTCCCCACATAATAGTTCATAGTACAACTGTACAAATTCTCTCTTCATACCTGAAAAGAGGATAAATGAGAGAAAATGGTGGGATAGCTTTCCTTTCAACATCTTCAGTATGGTGGCAAGAGCTCCCCCTAAAGACCTCTACAGGCATAACTAATCAATCACAAACATAATTTCTCAAAATAGGCAAAAGTAGATCATTGTGCCAGGTTGTATCCCAGCAAACAAGGAAATTTTCCCCAAACATTCAATGTACCACTTGAGGTGACAATCTGCAGCCCTGGCGTAGGAGTGTCAGGGAAATTCGTTTTTAGTAAAAATAACAGTTCAGAGGATGATGTTCTGCGACCTTCAGTTTAACTTTATGCCATCCTCAGTGGAGGCTGCTCCCCTTTTCCCTCTCACAACAACAGCAGCGCCCACTGTCACTGCTCCTATGGGAAGTGTTAACTGGGAGTACTACAAGTTTACCAAGACTACTATTAGACACTCACACCTTAAAACATGGTTTCACAAGTCTCTGAATGCTGTACAAGCAGTTTCCAATGTCTTATCAACAATTTCTTAGCTTTATTTACCCACCCTCTATTGCAGTGGCAACAGACATGGCTTCCCAGCAGAAGCAACTTGTCAACAGTGATCCCATCCTCACTGTCCACTCCCATACATCTAATTATTAATAATATCACAAAGCATTTTGAGATTGATAATAGAAATTATTAAAAGTGACTGTCTCTATGTGCTATCTTTGTGACAGACTGGTGACCTGTCCAGGGTGTACCCCACCTCTCGCCCTATGTTACCTGGGATAGGCTCCAAATCCAACCCTCCCACAACCCTGAGAAATCTAAAAGTCAAGTTTAAGAGAATCAACATGTAGATATTTTATTTTCATTGAAGATTTGTATATTTTAGAGAACTGAATAAT